CGTCTCCGCTTACCGTCTCATGTGCCTTCATCGGATGTTTTTCACATTTCACATTTGGCCCCTATGCTTCCTTTGCCTTTGACGGAGACGATACTGATTCGGATTCGCGGCCGAATCCTTATCAACCGGGGGAGGATGATGGAGACGAGATCGCGATTTCGTTTCTAAATAAATATGATAGGCTTCGTATTTAAATTATTTATTTCCTATTAGTATTGTTCCCTTTTATTTTATTACCTTAGTTATTTTATTATAGATGGTAAGTAAATAAATATCTAGCCTAGCTTGTTAGGCAAGATAAGTAGGACTCTATATATTTATCTCATCTCTACCGTAGTCAGATGGTTGAATTTGAAGAAGATTTCTGATATTTGAGTTTTGTGTTTTATCGAGAGAGTATCTCGTTTTATTATTTCCATTCGTTCACACTTCCCTACATCAAATAACATCATCAACATATATTAATAAAGCAACAAAATCAGATTATGCAGCTAAAGTAAACAAAGAGCAATCATCAATTGATTCTGGGAAACCATATTCAATGAGACAACTTGTCAATTTTTGGAACCATGCGTAGATGTCTATTTCAGTCCATACAGGCTTTTAGTGAGCTTTCATACCCTGTTATCAATTTTTTAAACAATAACCTGGAGGAGAATTCATATACACTTCCTCATTTAAATCACCATGTAAAAAGGCATTGTTAACATCAAGTTGGTGTACGTGCTAGTTTTTAATTGAAGCTAATGCTACTACAAATCTGGTAGTTGTTATCTTAGCTACAGGGAAAATGTATCAAATAATCTAATCCTTCCTTTAGAGTATAATATTTTGTAATTAACCCAGCATTGTATATTTTTATTGTACCATCAGACTTATATTTAATTTTGTATACCCATTTACAACCCTCAGAATGTTTGTTAGGTGGTAGATCAGTTAAAATCCAAGTTTGAGTTTGTTTTAATGCATCTAACTTTTTTATCATTGCTTCTTGCCAAAGAGGATCTTTGGCAGCTTCATTGTAAGTTCTAGGTTCTTGAGAATGTGTAAATGATGTAGTGAATCCACTGTGAGTGATAGATAATAATGTGGTTAGAAGATAATAAAATATAGGATATTGTGATTTTCCAGCTGTGATATGAGAAATATCAAACATAGTGTTTGAAGAAACATTATTAGTTGGTTTAATATGAGAAGTGTCAGAAATAGTATTTGAAGGAGGTTAGTTATGTTCGTGTGTGCTATGCTAAGACAAACATGTGTTTTTGTTGGTCTTGTGGATCTTCTTGGCTGAAAGAAACCTTGTTGTATCATGGACACAGATCGGCTGCGATGAGATAAGAATCCCCCACTAATGTTGATCGTTGTCGGCTCAACGGATCCCTCTAGAGCAATTCGTGGAGCCATTTCAGAAACAAGTCACGTAACATGGGAATCGAAATGTTTTTTGCTGAAATATGGAAGCTGACCTATTTGTGCAAAACAACAACGGAACTGGATCAAAAAACCAAACTGGAGCGAAAGAAACCTCATTGTATCATGGATACAGACCGCTGCGACGAGATAAGATTTCTCTACTAGTGTTGATCCTTGTCGGCTCGACGGATCCCTCTAGAGCAATTTGTGGAGCTGCTTGAGAAACAAGTCACTTAATATGGGAACCGAAATACTCTTACTGAAATAAAAAAAGTCGGCCTGTTTTGCCACAACAACGAAACTGGATCATAAAACCCAAATAGAAAATCAAAATTCATACAGAAAACTTAACAATAAATTTTATAGGATCCGACAGATAGTCCACAGCTTCCACGTCATCTTCAGTAGTCAGGTCTGCCAATCACCCTCAATCCACAACCATTCATCATTAGATCTACAGATCAAGTCGGGAACTTTGGTCACGACATCTTTATAAGTATCGTTCCTAGCCGCGATCCAGAACAAACCAATCATTTTCTAATTCTTAAAATGGTAGACATTGTATCTCTTCGCATGTTGGGGCCGACCACCCCACTTCATACAAAAAGAAGGTCGATCACCTTTATCCATACGATTGGGGATACTTAGTGAAATTTAAGCCCCCAATCCCAGAGATAAATAGAAAGGTCGATCACCTTCATCCATGTGATTGGGGATATTTAGTGAAATTCGAGCCCCTAATCTCGGAAATATGTATAAAGAATACGTGGGAGTGGAAAACTCAACCTGAAACTCAAAATTTTTTTACAGACGCCGAGACATTAGGGTGGTGGTTAATGAATTTTTTCCCTGTGATGAGGAGCGAACATCTTGATCTCCCGAGGCACGGTTCAGCAGCAGTCTAGCAGTCTCTGAGAGCCCACAACGAGTCTCACGTGGTTCAACCAAGCCACTGGAGGTTCGAAATGGTCCGACGAGCACAACAAGCAACCAGAGACATGAGATGCGAGAGATGGCCGAGGTCCCGTGATGGAGTGACCTAGTCTGACAACCCAACAGACTCTAAGTTTCAGATGATCTCCAACAATGAAAATAAAAAACATCTGAGGTCGGCAAAATCTTGAAACCGTAAGGTTTAATCCTAATTATAGATTCTGCTGCATTAGGATTTATTTTTAATAAATTCGAAAGTGACATCGACGATGTTCCTCATAGAACCCAACACTAAATGCATATATGAAAGACTTCAACATTAACATGGCGTAATACAAATTTGAGCTCTTGAAGATGCTCGTAAAACCATGCCTTGAAAGTCTTGAGCAATTGCTCCTCATCCAAAATGGATAGTTCGTCACCATCATTATTGTGCACGTTGGTTTGGTCACAATCATCATTATCATCATTGATATAGCCACAGCTAGTACTGCCGGCTCGACCGTTAGTATCTGATATATAGCATGTCATACCCGACCGGCTTTTATGGATATATATTGAAGAATATGCCCATACATGGGCTAAGACACTTGATATGATAGTATGGGCAAAGCCCTACTTAGGACAAGCCCAATTTGGAATATAAGGTACAC